AGATCCATCAAACATTTTTGTGCTTAAAAGTGAAAAAAGTAGGACAAGGAGTCATAAATTCAAATTTTGGCACCATAGGAGTCATCTGTAGTTTAGACAGTATTACTTTTCAAACAGGGTGGTTAGCTTTCGGAATGAGCTGCCTTGAAGGGTGGTGTAGGCAGGAAATTTAACTGAGATCAAGAAAAGATTGGACGAATACATGAGTAGTAAGAGGTGATTATAGTTGGGAGCTGGAAGGGACATCCTTGATGGGCTAATTAGCTCCTTTTTGTCTCTTTAAAATTTTATGAATGACATCCTTATTAGCAGTTAATGAGAAATCTAAATCTATTGCAGTATTTGTGTGATGACTTACTTGCATGCATGCATATTTATATTCCGAATTTAAGTTGACTGATTTTGAACTTCATAAGTTTAAGAAATAAACGCTATTGGCCAATTATTTACATCAAATGCATCTACAGTGGCTTAAATATTCTTTAATTCCTACTTATGTCTTAGCTACATCATTTAATAAAACACGATTTACTTAAAAGTATAATGTAATTCTAAGAATATTAGTTACAGTTATTGTATTATATGTATTAGTTTTGGAATAATGTTGCATGCCAGTTTAGGGTTGTTATTAGGGTAAACTTGGTGGAATTGGAATTAAATCTTTCAAACTTTTTTTGCCATACTTCTTAAAAACCTTAATACTGCATATGATAGTTTATGTTTTTTGCAAACTGCCAGAACACTTTTATATTTGACATGTACATTGTACCGTGCAGTTTATACTGATAAAAAGTGTTTCCCGTTCTCCTTTATATTCATGTTGTAGGAAATTCAAATTATAGTCACATCTTATGTATGTAAGGGATAAATATTATTAACGTTGTGCACGTACTATAAATAAAACATGGGTAGAAACATTTATACAAAGAATTTATTGGTTATGTTTTTCATTGGCTTAGGAACATTAATTATTACAGAATTGTGACACACTTTCAGCTGATAAGAATACGACTTGTACTGAGAAAACCAGACTGTGACAGAGGTTTATGTGAGCTGCCTCTACAACAACCTATCCAATTTATATTTGAAATAACTTTTCTCATTTATAAACTTGTCCACCAGAACCTTAGAGATGTTGTAAGCTTTCAACACAAAATGTTTTACTGGGTAAACAGTTCCAAGTATTGATATTAACAAGGAGTAATTTTATCAAAGATAAAAGCTACTTGTTGGTTTCCAGAGCTTTGTACTCTTATATTTTATATATAAATATATTTATTTTTTTAACCTCCTTCTTGCTAATGTGGCCACAACATCATGTTTTTTTAAAATTACTGAATTGTATACCATATGTTCACCCGGGTTTTGTATTTTTTTTTATCTCTTGATAAAAAATCCTGTGTTTTGTCTGTCACTATCTTCTAGCTGTTTAACTTAGGGAGTATCAGTGATCTATATTTCTTGTAAGTTTCCTGTTTATAGTGTTTTCTCTTTCAAACTTCACTGTTATCATACAACAGTGATTATTACCAATCGTCTGGTTCAAGAATGTTTAACTGTTTGAAGTGATTTTTCTTAGAAGCAAGATACAAAGTATACATAATGTATGAAAAGTTGGCCATGTCATTGAGTGCAAAATGTTTATTTAATTCATGACATAAAATATAAGTTGTATATTTTATTACTTCCTGCTTCTAAGTGAATGATTCAGTGGAAATGATTACAGTAAGTTTGAGTGATGCTACGATTTTCATTTGAAATTCCACAAAGAAATATGATAAGTATTGATGATCAAATTTTTGAACAACCATGACAGACATCAGTAATCAGTTATGATATTTCATTGTAGAATAACCATATGCAGTTCTGCTGAGAATTATGATAATCTTATTATCATTCAGATAGCTATTTATGTTTTGTAAAAGTTGTAGACAACGGAAAATGCAAGATGCGTTAGCAGATACTTTAGCTATATGTAGCAAGAAAACCCAAAAGATTTTAGTTTTTGACTGATTACCAGGTTTATAATAAGCTACAATCTAAATAAGTATGTTAACTAACATACTCTAACTAATAATTTAGTGTTAATCAGAAATATAGCTTTACTTGTATGTTTTGTTGTATACTTTAAGAATGAATGTAAATATAAATCTGTAGTTTGATTTTTTTTTCTTGTGAGTGACTATTATGTTCTCATGCTTTTATTATGATGCAGATTTTATGTAATATTGAATTAATGTTTTGAATGTAAGAGATGAAAACGATGATAAAGATTTTCAGTATCTAGGAAGCTACATGAATGAAAAATATACGTCTGTCCAGGGTGGGCAAACATGAACTACTCCAAAACCACTTGATAAAGATGAATGTTTCTTGATTTCATTGGACCACCCAATGTATGTATTTTATTGAAGCCACAAGTTTCTAGCAGCTTCTTACAATATAAAATGGTTAGCAGAGTTAAATCAACAGACCCAATGGTCTGAGCTATTTGTTTATTCAGTTCAGATACATTTTACAGTTACGTTTTAGAAAAATCTGTAAATAGGTTGCCATAATAAACAGACTCATAATCTCATTGGTCATGTCATCAGTAGTAGAAGTTTGTTTCAGTAAACTGTTTCCAAAAGTGAGCTTAGCAGCTTACCACAAAATTTACATCCATCTCTAGGGACAGACTGGCCTGTATTTGAATCAATACATATTGGAATCCTGTTGTGATTTTTGGTGTGAAATTGATCCCAATGTGATCCCATTTCTTTGTGAATTATATATATATTTTTTATTTTTCAGATGAAAAGATAAATTCACAGTTTTTTGTTTGTTTTCTTCAACAAATCAAACAATGCCACCGCCACCGCCCCACCACCGGCTCCTCCACCACCCACTTCATTTGAAGCTCCCCCTTCACTTAATAGAAACTCCAAAGTTGATCGTAGTGCATTACTCTCTGACATAAGGTATGGAACAAGGCTAAAGAAGACAGTGACAAATGATCGGAGTGCTCCACAGATCAGTGGTGAGTTGTAAAAGTTCTTTGTACAGTGCTATGTGCATTTTAAAGTATATTTTCTTCATAAGTTAATTGTTTCATAAATTTTCAAACCTGAAAAACTACCAGTATGATGTAAAATTTAGCAGTTTTAGAAATATTGAACATGATAATTTATTCTATTACATAATCACACGTTTTATCATCTTTGACCTATATCTTATACCTGTTTGGAAAGTGGGACTTGGCAAGCATGAAGCCCTAAACTGCAGAATAATAAGATCATGTAGTCTGTTAATAGTTTGCTTGCTCATGGAGTGGCTTGACTGGATTTATTTGGCAAACATTTTTTTTTGTTTAATTAAAGCTAAAATGACATGCAACTTGTTAATTTCAGGGGTTAAACCTCACATATTTTGTTTCATTTTTTGCGAGAAACAAAAGCAGTGAATATATTTTTATTTTAGTTTCCATTTTTTTTAACTTGCCAATGCAAGGCTCATCTTGCCTGTACTTAAACCCAGGACTGGCTAAATGGAAATCTTTATATCTGCTATCAGAGTTTAAGAATAAGGTTTTGTGGTAATGTGTATAAAATATTTTATGATTAAATATTTAAAAAATTATATTTTGTTAATTTAAGTCCAGTTTATTTATTTTTATTTATTTATTTATTTTTGTTAATAACAAAAAAAAATCTACACCAAGAAAACATTACCAGTGTTGGAAGTGTTTTGGAACACATCATGACCTGTGTTAACTAATAAAAAGAACTTACAAATAAGAATCCTAAAATTGATTATATAAACCATAAAAGTACATTATAATATATTTTAAAAACACATGCAGCACTGACACTTATTGTTAAAATTCTCCCATTTTTTAATTATTTTTTTTTGTATGTCAGAAGTATATATGAAAACTAAAATAAATTGAAGTAAAGAAAATTAACCTAGTCCAAATATTGTTGCAATTAAACAGAAGTATACAAGTATAATGTACTGATAAACCATTTTGAGACCTCCATTGTAATGATACAAACCATTGCAATTAGCTGTAGCAATGAAAGTATGTCAAAACATTAATAATTATAAAATTCTAAGTACCACATACATATATAATACATGTTTAGGTTTTGGAAGATAAATTGGGTATGGGTTAATGATAAACATGACAGACCATGAAATTGTAATCTGTGGTTTGTGTTCTGTTTCTGCAGAGTCGTACTCTGTACTTGGGGGGCCACAGGTGCTTTATAATAATCAGATCCTACAGTTTGTTTAGTGTAGCCTAAAAGTTGGAAGTGGTTGCTGTTGAGTAGCACTTTTCTTCTTATCAACTTTGTTGGTTAAAACTTGGAGATAGCTCTTGTGTATGTTTGCATGAATATCTGAAACAAACACACACACACAATTCAAAAGGCCTATGTATATCAGGACATAGTTGAATTTATTTTAAGTTTATTTTTATTCATGAAAGTTGCATTATTTATATAATATATTGAATAAAGATTACCTTTATAACTGTATGCAGTTAAAGAAGTTACCAAAACCTTTATAACTGTATGCAGTTAAAGAAGTTACCAAAAACCTTTATAACTGTATGCAGTTAAAGAAGTTACCAAAACCTTTATAACTGTATGCAGTTAAAGAAGTTACCAAAACCTTTATAACTGTATGCAGTTAAAGAAGTTACCAAAACCTCTATAACTGTATGCAGTTAAAGAAGTTACCAAAAACCTTTATAACTGTATGCAGTTAAAGAAGTTACCAAAAACCTTTATAACTGTATGCAGTTAAAGAAGTTACAGAAAACCTTTATAACTGTATGCTGTTAAAGAAACTTTTATTTGAACTTTAATATTTACTTAGTCTTGAAGTTTTACGGTAATTACGGTACTCTCACTCTTTTACCACTTGAACTACATCGTAATTATGACTAAATGTTTATCACAATTGTCAAAATTAATATGGTTTATTTAATGCAGTTTATATGGTTCAATACCCATATTAAATGAGGTTATTATAAATATTAATTACATTTTCAAGTATGAAAAATCTTAACTTTATATATATATATATATTTTTTTTTATTGCATATGAAATGTTTAAGCATCTAAAGGACCAAATGATGGGTCATCTGAAAAAGTCAGCTGTCCAGTTGGTATTGGAGGCCTCTTTGCCCAGGGTATGCCAAGGTTACGTCCTACTGGAAACCGACCACCTGGTCCTCAAGGTATATAAACTTCCATTATGTAGATTCGTTGCAAAGTAGTGATAATTATGAACAAACATTTATAGCATTTTAGAATGTATCACCTATATATTTTTCAAATTAAATTACTACTTTAAGCAGACTGGTTCCTCACATAAAAAAAAAGATACTGTTATAAAGAAATTTACTACTTACGAAAGCTGGTTTATCACATGAAAAAGTGTATATGTAGATACTGTTATAAAGAAAGTAATTATAAATTAGTGCTGTAAAAATGATGAACTTTTTTTTTAATTATTGCAATTTACTGTCTCGCAGTATATATATATATACCTAACTTTCACTAATGGTAGAAGTGTCATACGAGCATATATATACGTGTTGCAAGTTTAAGAAGTTTAATAACTGTTATAATTAGTTCATATAAGTTCTAATTAATAAAATTCACTTGATCTTCTCTTTAAGTTAGTAATTTATGGAACTTAATATAATCACTAGATCTAATATTAGTAAAGAAAAATAAAACTAGAGTGCTAATACTCTCTTCCAACGTTTCAAGTCAGGGGTTTGAAACACAGTAGAATTATTTTTATTATCTGACACACATCTGTATCAGGAGGCATTTTGTTCACTTCCAGAACTAATTTGAAGCTATAACATCAAAGATGAACACTTGCATAAAATATTTAATAAATAGTGAAATATATAGGTTGCTGTAGTAATTCTTATCTCCAGAATGACCCGAGTTTTTCAGATTTCAAACTGTTTATTAGCTGTAGTGTTATATGCTCTCACAATAATTTGAAAAGTGACTAATGAATTTCTTATGCTTTGAAAAATGTGTTTCTTTTCAAATAATTCTCATAGACAAACGTTCGAAAATTTTTGACTTTGTTCTATGAAAATATTTCTGGGAAAACCATGCTATATTACTTACAGTGGTAATTGAATGTAAGGTAATATAGGTATGATATTCGAAAAATTACTTTTTTATCACAGCTTATCCATGCAGTGCGAGTATTGTCCAGAAAAATGATTTAACAGTGCAGAAAAATTTTATAATAACATGTGATTATTAGACTTGCATTTATTTAAAATCTTGAAATATTAAAATGTTGTATTTTTTTTATGAAGTAAGTTTTATTTTAAAAAACTGTTTTATCATCAAAATTGAAACTCCTTAAATAATCAAATACGAAAGGAATAATGAAAGAGATTTGGTAGTCTTTGTTTGAAAACAAATACTTCTGACAAGAAAATGATAAAAGTTGTTGTAACAGTTATTTTTCATGTTATTCACCACTGTAAATCAAAATAATTTTGTTTGAAATAGGTTTAAGAAAATATTCATTCTGTTTTGGTAATTGGAATGTGTTTCTGGAGTCAACTGATAAATTTAAGTATGTTGGTTAGCCTGTTGTGGTGGAAGTCAAGTTTTAAACAAATTTAACTTTTTTCCAAGTTCCCAGAGACAGACCAACCTCCAACACTAGAGTCCAAAGTACAGCAGTAAATTGTCCCTCCCAGCAAATTGGCATGAGTCATTCCCAGCCTCCTAGCCCAGTCATGTCATCTCGACGAACCACAGTTACGTGTACTTCTGATACAATAATTAATGATGTAGTTCAACCCAGTCATTATGCAGTAGGATTAACTCCTAGGTTTCCCTTCCCTAATGATCTATCCTCATCTCAAGTCCCACCTTCTACTAGTCGGAAACACAGTTTGAGAAACAATAGTTTTAATCAATCAATTGTACCGAATCGTGTGGCTCCTTCATTTTCGATGAAACATTCCACAGTCTCTACTGGCTTAAATCAAAGTATGAGAAGAGAAGCACCACGTAGACCTCCACCATCTGTACGGCCACCACCACCACCGCCACCTATCAAACCTCCTAGTTTGATGAGACGACAAAGTTTTGGAGCTCGAGAGGTTAGAAATGGAATTGCTTCACATTACCATAATGTATCTCAACAAGGAATTAAAAACCTAAAGAATCAAGCTCCACTACCACCTCCTTCAAGAAATCAGAGTGTTCCTAACAACTTGAACCAAATTCACCTTCAATCTGATTCAAAACGAGCATCTGGTAAACTCAGGACTGCTCCCCCACCACCACCATCTACCATGTCGAAGGTAGTACCTTCTGCTAATCGTCCTGCACCACCACCTCCACCAGTAAGGCCTCCATCTGTTGCACCACCCCTTCCACAAACTGTCCCCTGTTATATAAAAGCCTCACCACCTGATGTACTACCTCCACCACCTCCTGCTCGTAACAGCTATGTTTTTACAGGTAAGTTTCGTGTTTGGTTAGCTATGTATAACATTGTGTCAAAGTGCTAGAATGATCACCAACAATAAAAGAAAGTTTAAAATGGACATCATGAAGATACGAATTTTCATTAGTTAACAAGTTGATGAAATGTGTGTATGTTCCTGTTCAAGTAACAGTTTTTATCTTATCGGAAGGAAATGTTTAAAGTATACTTATAAATTTCATTATGTCTATTATATAACCAAAACATAAACAAGTTGATACAAATAACAAAACACTAGATTATTATACTCTTCTGTTTTTTTCTATTCTTTATTAATTTATTTTACCAGTTTCGTGACTTCAAAGGTCACTCTTCGGGACATAATTTTACGGAATTACAAAAAGGACAATAAAATTTTCTGTAAAATTATATCCTGAAGAGTGAGTGACCTTTGAAGTCATGAAACCAGTAGAAGAAATTAACGAAGGAGAGAATAAAACAGAGTATGATATGCTAGTGTTTCGTTTTTATATATATAAAGGAGTTAATGACATCTTTGAACACTTCCCTCCCATAAGGTAAATAATTGTTAATGGAACAGGAACATAAAACAGCCTGTTATATATAAAACATAGTTACTTCTTACATATACAGTATGTTAGGTGTTTTAGTATATTTCACACTTCTTTATAAACAGGCTCAGGCAGTGTGTTCAACATTTCTACTGATTTTTTATCGACTTCTCCTATCTTTAAGTGTGCTTTTGAGACAGCATTTTGAGTTCTAAGCTAATAGATCTGCATTGTCTTAAGAGACAGTAGAAGTTGGTATATGATCCAAATACCTTTCAAACTGTTCTTTGCTATTAAGTAATGTTATTCAGGGTTTTTTTTCTTTCGTTTAAATTCTCTAAATTTTACATTTCAGATAATTTTGAATCAAGATTTAGTAACAAGTTCCATGATATTTCCAATTTGATACCTCCTAGCCCCTTTCAAAACACACCAAAAACTTACCCCAGCAAAAGTAAGTATTAGTAATTCTGCTATAATTAGTATGGTTTATTGCTTCGTAAGTTTTTGTTCATAATTGTATCAATTGTATTACCAATTTTAATAAATGGTACTTGTACTTCCAGTCCTACAATAATATGTGTAAAATAACTGGAGATAAAAACAAAATCTGTCAAGTACAAACTACAGGCTTGTGATACCACAGTGGGGTTCTGATTGTGTGGTTACTGTTGATATTATTTTTCTAAGAGGTAATAATGGTTGAGTTGGCTATACTATTACTGAATCTTGTACTGCTTGCTTTTAATTTTATTTCAGGAGGGGGTGGTTTTGACATAGAGAATTAAATGTTGCCTAACCCTAAACTACTGTGTTTTAGAAGGTCCAGTGAAAGTTTCACAATAACAAATACTTGTACTGCTTGCTTTTAATTTTATTTCAGGAGGGGGTAGTTTTGACACAGAGAATTAAACATTGTCTAACCCTAAACTACTGTGTTTTAGAAGGTCCAGTGAAAGTTGCACAATAAGAAATACTTTACAACTTTTATCGCTCAATGTCAAGCAAATATTTTGTAACATTTAGAATTCTACAAATTGTGCATTGAATTAATAACTTTTTAGTTGCTATTTTTTTAGAACTTTGTTCCACTTAATATATGATTAAATTTAATATTGTAGGCTTTGTAGTGCATATTTAAATTTCAAAATTTCATTTACAATTTTTGCCCCCCTGTGGCGCAGCGGTATGTCTGCAGACTTGCAACGCTAGAAACCGGGTTTCCATACCCATGGTGAGCAGAGCCCAGATAGCCCTTTGTGTAGCTTTGTGCTTAACTTCAAACAAACAAACATTAACAATTTTGTAAATAGTATTTTTAGATTATTGTAAAATGATAATTAACAGAGAACTTCCGTTATACGTAGTCTAAAGGATACCGAAATGAATACTCTCCTCTCACACAGAATAGCTTATTTTTCTCTTGAGTTTGTGGGATCTACCAGAGAGTTGCAAGCCACTAGCATTGTGAAAACTTCTACCTAATCTCATGTGAACTTTCACTACTGCATGTTGACATAATCTTACAGCAGAACCCTCCACCAATAGATGTGTGACACGTCTCCATGCTGTTGGTCTATTCTTTACCCTTTCCCCTTTTGCTGACCCTCTTTACAATATCTTACCTCCTTTTTTCACATATCTCTTTGACCATGGCTTGTCTGTTTCTACCATTATGGGTTATACTTTTCTTACTTATAACTAGCTTACCATAAGATCCCACCCACTAGGTAGCTAGAGTTTTCCCACCCACTAGGTAGCTAGGGTTTTCCCACCCACTAGGTAGCTAGTGTTTTCCCACCCACTAGGTAGCTAGAGTTTTCCCACCCACTAGGTAGCTAGAGTTTTCCCACCCACTAGGTAGCTAGTGTTTTCCTACCCACTAGGTAGCTAGAGTTTTCCCACCCACTAGGTAGCTAGAGTTCTATCCGGAGTATATCTACCCAAAATTTGCATTGGGCCAGGATAACGGAAAGTGCTCATACCATTTGCCCTGCCCCTACACATGACTACTGTGAGATGGTGTGTTCTGCAAGACCACATGAGGTTTTCTCATGGTTTTTCAGTATATATATCTATATTACATTTCGTCTCTGATCCAGACCATACCAGCTCTATGGACTATCATGGTAAAAGCCAGCACCAGAGTTGTATACCTGCTCACTTCTCTGGCTAGCCCTTGTTGGTTTTTAAAAATAGGGTTTCACAGTCACCCATTGCACTATCTCCAGTAAAAGACCTTTCTGGACTGATGGAGATCCAGACACATTCCCTGGGTCCTCCCCATGCAAATTATCCCTCCCTTGTTGAGTGGAGCATGGGAAACCCTTGCCACTTATCTCTCAGTTGCTAGTGTGGTGGACCATGGAGAATCCTTACAAATTGTAACCTAACCACTGGGGGTTAGGGTCCCTCTACGGTCAGAAGTGGGGCTGGGGTGAAAGTGGAGTGTAGTGTGGGGGTCACCCCACATATATAGCTATGTTACAAGTCACTATGTCGATCCTTTATTTCTGAGTTTATTTTCCTAATGCTCCTCCTTCCTCCAAAATCTATTCAGTAGTCAAAGTGAACACACTATTTCCAGTCCTTTCTACATCATACTGAAAAAAACACACACCCTGCTCTGGCATCTGGTCCATAAAGACTGATAGACAAGTGGAGGTATATTTCATATGGCACCCTCCTCCCACAGCTGACATGGGGCCCAAGGAGACTGATAGTAGATTTGATGTCACCACGCCAGTGATGTATCACTCGTATATCCTTCTCCCACAAGAGGTAAGAGGCCTGTAGTGACTGATGGTTGAGTAGAGGTTATATAAGTATCCATACTGGCACGATTCCATACAGTGCCCTCCTCCCACAGTTGGCATGGGGCCCATAGTGACTGCCAGTAGAGAAGGTGAGCACAGATATTTATCACAAGTGCCCTTCTAACATACCTGGTTTTTACCTGTTGAATCTGATGGTAGAGGAGGTAAGCACACAAGGTACAGTCTGAATGAGTTTCAGTTTCATTACACATATTGGCTGCCAACAGCTTGTGTGTGTACTCCTTAAGGTCATGTACTTAGTCCACCTGTCCTTGTGACACACTTCTGGCTTTTCTGCCTCTTCTCTTCTTTTACATCGACAAAGAGTATATCCTGGATGAGACAAAATGCAGTCTCTCATGGGTGTGCTGCTATGGAACTCCTTTCATTGGGTGTCACACTCCATTGTCTTCCTTTGGATGCTTTCTGAAGGGAGCTCACCTAGGAAATCTTTACACCAATCTCTCCACTACCCCAACATAGAATTCTAGTTATCTTGTGTGAGAAGTGAAAATTTTCGTTACCAAAAAATGTATTTCTAATAGATACTCATCTCTTCACATGTTTCTACTCGTCCTACCCACTTTCCCAGTGCTTATTTCTTTATTGCTTCATCAAAGAAGGAAGATTTATGAGTGTGAATGTAGAGTGTGTCATTGTGCCTGGAAGTGTATCATACTCTTATTGGTGGAGGATTCTGCTGCGTGATTACAATCATTATGCAGTGGTACAAATTCACATGTTTTCACACGAGTGTAGGTGGGAGTTTTCACTAGGCTGGTGGCTTGCTAGTCTCTTTGGCAGATTGGGCAAATTTAAGAGGAAAATAAGCTATTCTATATGGAGAGGTGAGTATCTATCAGAAATACATTTTCAGGTAAAAAAATGTGTTAATGTTCAATAGTTCTATATTTTCTTTATTTCACAAACTTGACTTTTCTAAATGTTTTACACTATTCATTACTCTTCTGTCGACATCTGTTTAGAGATGGGACAGGACTGTGACAAGGAACTTGCTTATGTGGTGGTATGTTGATTGTATAATGTTGAAACTGAATCAAAGTGAAATATCTTGCATACTATTTTTGGAAGTCTGGAGCCTGTTAGCTTCAAAGGTTTGAAGTTGTAGTATAATTTGGGTGTGTGTGTGTGTGTGTGTGACTGTTTATAACTTCATTTATATTTTCTTCTGTCTAAGGTACTGTAGGTACTTCTTTCACTAATGTAATTTAAAAGATAATAACTTTATCAACAGAAATATGAAAAACATCCTGAGATCATCAATTTCCATTTAAAACACGTTTTTAACATCTGTAATAATAGCAGAACCTCAATTTCCTTAATTTCTGTTAAAATTCTTTTGTTTATTAGAATCATACAAACACTCCAAGTCTTGTAAGGTGCTCTGTATTACTGTGGTACCATAATATTATTGTCTGCTCTTGACCCCACTCTGACCATTTTATTTTTAAAACAAGAACACCAGAATGTACATGGATTATTTTCATGTTCCACATTGTAGGTCGTGCAAAACAACATGAAACAAATCCAATCAATTTTTGAATTAGATAAGTTTTAGTATATATATATATATATATATTTCAGCACTTGGCTATTCAAGAACTTGTTGTTGATTGACCAAACTTTTCTAAGTGTATATTTAATAGCAGTGATTTATAAATTTTATGATTAACAGTTTTTTTTTCACCCTTTACAGATTTTCAAAACAGCAGGAGAAGACACCAGCCACCACCACCACCACCTCCTCCTCCTGAGAACTTATCGGGCTCTCAACCTAAGTTACAAGTACACCTTATTAGGCCATTTGTTAATCGCATAAGTGAGTGCTAGTGTTGAACGAAACAAGAACTTTACCAGGCCCTCAACCTAAGTTACAAGTACACCTTATTAGGCCATTTGTTAATTGCATAAGTGAGTGCTAGTGTCTAACGAAACAAGAACTTTACCAGGCCCTCAACCTAAGTTACAAGTACACCTTATTAGGCCATTTGTTAATTGCATAAGTGAGTGCTAGTGTTTAACGAAACAAGAACTTTATCAGGCCCTCAACCTAAGTTACAAGTACATCTTATCAGGCCATTTTTAGTCACGTAAGTGAGTGCTAGTGTTTAATGAAACAAGAACTTCTTGAACACACTGTTAGCATAACTAACTAGTCAAGGAATCTGTCATTATGAAGTTACCACAAACTCGATGCAAGGCTGGTATCGGCTGCATTTGAGTTGAAGTTACTTACGAATATAGAAGAAACTTTTTTATGACGTTTATTGCGCTTGTAAGTTTCATGTGTACTGCTGTTTTCAATATTATACACTGCTGACAGCAATAGTCATTCATTAATGGATTTGAGACAAAAAGTTAAATTAATTAGAAACAGGTGGCAGCACTAGCGACTTAATAAGTAATTCACCATCTTCTAGGGAAGTTATTTTATGGCACTTGTGATTATACAGGTGTCTCGGTGGTTATGTCGTGAAGAAAGTTTCTATTGTACAATTTGAAGTGGATTTTCAATGCGAAACTTGATCACCCTGCTCTGGGATGCAGCAGTACCACTAAGAACACAAACTGGTCAACGTAATGAAGAAAACAGAACACTGGAAACATTACTAGAAATTCATTGATGGACTTCATAGAAGAAACAAGAATAGCTTATGCAAAAAATAAAAGTTGATTATCTAGACACTGTTAATAATACTAGTAGTGCAGTGATGAAACAATGAAAGCTGAACAATCTACTGTAAAATATAAATCATCTAAACACTGTTATACTACTAATAAGGTAGTGATGAACACAAGTAAGAAAGCTGGACAGTCTACGTAGTGATAAATGTAGGTTTCTTAAAGTTAGAACATCCATTCACTGCTGATAGTCTGGTGAACTTGATGAAAGAACACTGTTAGCACTACTAAAAACTTGATCATCTAACCACACAAGTAATGGAGTGGAGAACTTGATAAAAAAACAACAAAGTGGATCAGTTACTCTGTTAACTAAAAAATATTATCACAATCTGAACACCACTAATATAATTGTGAACTCAATATAAAACCTCTGCAGCAACAGACATATTAAAACAAAGTGAATCACATCTAACTAAAGATGAAGCTGTGAACTAGAGAAAAAAATGCTGGATCTAATCTAAATGCTGCTTACACTATTAATAGTGTAGGAGTGGACTTAAAATAAACAGAAAACTAGACTATCCAAACACTGCTGCTATTACTATTACTGGTGGTAAAAATAAGATTTGTTTTTAAATGTGTGTAACACTACTAACAGTGTAGTGGTGGATGAACTTAGGAGACATATGTTCTTCGTACTAACACTAATAATAGGTCAGTGGCCAACTGTGGGGAAAAGTTAGAATATTTAATTTAGTTAAAAGAGAGACGGATAAAATATTTATGCATGGAGTAACTGTACAGTATTTTTTAGTCACTAAAGATACAGAACAAAATATTATTGCAAAAATAGTTTTTCTAATGATGTAAATAATGTCTAGATGTATAAATCATTAGTGAAAGAATTATAGCCATAGAGTAAACTTTGATAATGCTGTGGTAGCTTGAAAAAACTTCCTTTACTTACCTTTAATTCTATTTTTATACTCTCTGTGGATTATAGTGTAATTTAAAGCAGTGATACTTTTTTTTCTGATATCCAATATCCCTAAAGATATAGAAATTATTATATTTGATTTGAGATTGCAAAGACTTGTTGGCATTTCCTGTTTTAAATTTTTTGCTAGATACACAGTGTATTTAGGTGTTGATACATCAGGTGATCTCTAGGCAGTAGTGGCTCATCAGAGAAAGCAGGAGAGGCCAGTTCTGTGCAAAAAATGTTAAAAAGAAATAAGTAAATGATGTTCAGGTTTTTTCATTATTATTTATTGTCATATTCAATAGTGTAATTTAAATTTATTGGATTAAGGAGATTAGTAAAATATATTTTAAATAAACTTGCTTGGTAATAGGCTCTGGCTCCATACTTAATAGTAATGGTGGAGCAGAGCCACCTGCACCTATTCCCCATGGGTAAGCCCTATCTAAAAAGTATGGTATACCAGTGCTGACTAAGCAACATGATCGAGCAATCTTATTCTGTTGATTATGTCTTTTCAACATAGGGTGCCTGGCATACAGTGTATTAGTGCTGGGAGAACATGTGCACATTATATGCCTGTCCTTGTTCGTTGCTGTGGTAATGATGTGTGAAATAATGTTAATATGTTGTAAGAGATAGAAAAAATATTAACAATCTAAATATTTGTGATGCTCTACATAAGTATTTTCATACTTGTTTCTGCTGATGTGTTGTAGGTAAAACAAAAAATGTATTTACTGCCTTACAATGTGGCATTTGCTGTGTAGTGGCTTAAGCAAGGCTTACAAAAATGATCATGCTACCACTAGAAAGAAAAACTTAGGGTGCAAAAAACCAAACATTTAAGTAGACACATACAGACAAAATGACCTGGCTAGTAGATTACATGCCCCAGTTTTCAAGAAGACAACTGGAATGTTGTATATCTTTACATATTTGAATAAAGAGAGAGATTTTAACATTCTGAGAGCTCCAACACAAAATAATAAACAGTTATTATACAAAATGTTAAACCACTACTAAGCACAAGAGTCTTGTTCATCTGAAACCATCAAAATGACAAGATAATCAGTGGAGTGAGTTATTACTCACATAATTTAATGGAGAGATGAATACATCGGTATCTTGTTTTTCTCCCACTGAAGTTGAAATATCTGTAGCACACATGAGGTTTCAACAAAACCAGTTCAAAAGAACTCAATGGTTGAAAAAAACAAAAAGTATGTCTTTAGTATTGTATTTATAGGTAACTTACCCAGTTTCTATATAATTTTCATATTGATCTGAAATGTTTGTACTGTCCGCAGATGTTTCTATATATTATTTTGATGTATACCTAGATATGACATAGTTATACTTTTCCTAAGCTTTAATAAATATATGGAAATTTTCCACTTAGTAAATTATTGAAATTTCATTACTGTTTTTTCTCAAGAGGTATATTCTGAATCCACTTTTGAGAAGAAAAAAAAAAGTCTCAATTTTTTGGATTATTTAAGAGTATTGTACATTATTCCTTGATCAAATTTATGATCTTGTAAAAAAAAAATTACAGAAAAGATTGAAAAATTTTGCCATTACCTAAATATAGAATTTTAAAATTGTTTATAGCTCTATGGTTTTGTATATATATATATTGTTTATTATTTTAATGCATTAGCTTTAACATAACATGTTTATTAATACATTTTACTTGCTTTATAGCATACTTCAGAAAATAGAAGTGGTATATGTTTTATAAAAATATGCCATAGTATTGTAGCTTAAAAAAGTTCCACAAAATATTTTTAATTATTTTAACAAACAAGGAAAATGTGATGTTTAACAAATGTATTCCGTATATATGATGGGCTTGAAATATACTGCATGGAACGAGAATATAATGAAAGCAAACAGTGTGATAAAAGATTATCAGATTGGATCTATGGACTTTTTCTGCCTCAGTTTCTTTTGTTTAAATGTTACGGCTTTCTCGAAGATCACAATGTACCTTTGTTTTCTACTTTGTTTTATTCTGTGATGTTTTCCCAGTGTAAAAAGTAACACTGAACTTGCATGTACCAGTGTTGTCATGAACAAATGTAGAAATATACTAGCATATAAATACACAATTAAAATGTGTGCTAGAGGATACCTTCCCCCTCTTGATATCAAATAGATTCTGGTAGAAGGCAAAGCAGCATGTTTTGTGTTAATGCTTAATTTACATATTAAACCTGTGAGTAGTTGTAGAATTTGAACAGAGAAGTGTGTCAAAAATGCATTAAATAATGTTACATATACTGTACTTACTATTGTAATAATATTGATAGATTTAGAAAGTGATCTGGTACTCCTAATCAGCTTCTGTTGGAAAAGTGTACCTTGTCTGTTGACATAACGAAGTGTAAAAACTGTATTTTACGTGATGGCAGAGTACCTGATATAACTTGTATATTTACTGTCTTTATAAAAAACGTATGTACAATATATATATGTGTGAGGTTTTGAATTTGGTCAGAAACTATAGTTCCTTGATTAATTATTTCAGAGTTTTATCTGTTATTACTTTCTTGTAAGCTACAATATATCTTCATTAAAAATTATATTGTACATTTATGTAATAAAATGTTTGTATAAAACCAAATGTGTATATCTGAAGAACTGATTGAGAAGGATCTACTTCAAAAGAGATAAACTTTTGGTGGTAATTTTTATGAAAATGTTGAGGACTATTCAGTGATGGCTGGAAAAATATTACAAAATTAATTTTGATAGGGAAAGTCTGTAGGCCTAGTTTTGTGCCAAGAAGTCTACACACTGCATATTCTTAGTAACTAGATTAGTAAAATGGAAAGAAGGAGGCTTAAGGGTTATTGCATGTACAATATTTATTTAAGAACATTGTCTAATGATTATATAGTTTTTATATTGGTGCTAAACCTTGAAATATAAATGAACTAAATCACAATGAACTGTATTAGAGGCTCTAATTTAGAGCCATCACGATGTCTGTAGCAAGAATAGTTTTTAACACTTTTTTACAGCATGTTTTTTATTTATAAGATACATGTAGGACCTTTCAAAATAAATTCCAGTAGTTTGTAGTTCCATTCTAGATTGGTTTTAATGAGAAAGCATAAGACTCGTACACAGCAGTTGAGTATGTTCCAGTTATTGATGGTAAGCCAAATTGCTGCCTGCTTACGATTGAATTCAGACCATGAACTTGCAACTTTACACCATTGCCCAGCAAGTAAAGTGGTCTCAACCAAAAACGTTTCAACATTATTGGTGGCTTCCATACAGCGTGCACATTCATAGCATCACTGTGAATGTTGTAGAGTGATGCCTGCATGATGTACTGGCAGAATAAGATGTTTATGCAACAAACACAACTGATCTCGTGTTGGAAGGCAAATCGTACCATTGAGGAGTGAGAAGCCTGACCTTGTCATATGAAGTTTTTATGGCTTTTTATCTTTGCTCTTTCATGAAATGATATTAGCAATGAGGACATCTACAAAACATTCCTGCTAGTGTACAGAAGCATCTAGCTGCAGTCCATAATAAGAAACGAGAATTTTCTGAGAGCTGTTAAGGAGCTTGATGGTGTGTTGGAAAAACACATAAGGCTATTCCTTAAGGACTACCATCAAATAGGTTCTGCAAGAGCACCTGTTTTCAAGTACTGGTACAACTTCTTAGAAGTTCTAAAGTCCCTGCTACTGAAAATGCTTGTGTAATGTAAAAGCAACCAGTCTTCAATTGGGCACACAAATTGAAATGCTTCCCCTTTTTTCTTCATCACTAACAGAATCACCAATGCATGCTGGCTGACAGTCTAAATCATGAACATACTAGAGTTGCCCAGTGGTATGAATAATACCTTTCAAAATAGCCAGTTCTCAGTCAGACTCCAGGGCATATGGTCTGATATAGCAATGGAAAAGCATCATTAAAGATTCCAAAAGCAGTGGTGGAACTGTGAGGTTGACAAGGAAGAAGTCAACTCAAATTAGGTCGACAATGCCCCACCACATTCTTTAGCAGTACGCCACTGCAATTAAAGAAATAAATGATACTGTATACATAGATGAGAAACATGAACATGAAGAGTCGATGCTTACAGCAATCAAGCAAGATGAAGAGCATGACACAACTCTCATTGATCGTGTTCAAAACAATATGACCAATCCATTTGAAACAAACGTGCTTAATTTGTTCTGCTGAATATTTCTACAAGCGTGCATGTAACAGTAATATTCAAGAAACATTGCTGAATGCAATAGACCAAGGCTAATGATTTATGAAGAACTTTGGAAGTTCATTGTTACAAAATCAGAAGTAGAGCTTCTGTACCCCAATAAGCAGGTCATGCCTTAAGACATTTACACATATGAAAAAGAAGACCAAGGACTGAACTGCTGAAGGAAAAATAGTCAGTGCCATCATCAGCAGAGAGGTGGTGTTTCGAAAAGCACTTGCTCTAGCAAGATGGTGAGATGTTGTGGCCGTGAAAAGGATTTTGAGTCATCCAACAGGGCCAATACCAACAGAATTATTCCATGAAGTTGGAGCTATGCAAAAATCAACAAAGGCTGATCAGGCAACTAGAACAAATAGAGTTGCCCACTCTTGACAAGTATTCTGCAGTGTACATTCGGGAAGCCATGGCTGTTGTACAGATGATGCAGGATAACTAGTATCACACTTTTGGGATCTTACCAATGCATGAGCTACATATTGAAAGGACTTGACAAAGCTGACACAGTTGTGGAGGTTTGTGACAGGGATGACTCAATTAAAAGTTATAAAAGAGACTACAGAGCTGCAGGCAACATGGGTTTTAAACAGTATGATGTGAATCTGATGAGCTTCCTAAGTGATTTTGTAGTTCTACATGATCCCTCTAAACTGCCTGGTCAGCCTGAAAAGAAGCTTTACCTTGCAGGTGGTTTCAAAAACTGTGAGGAATGCATCATCTTAGGGTGTGCTTGAAGTTCCATACTTGTACAGCACACAGGAAGAACCTGACACAATGACAATACTTAATGTCATGGCTTTGATGAAGAACTATGTAATACTTATCTCCAATGAAGTGTAATCATCAAATCCCCAGACACAGATGTACTAGTTTTAGTTATTTATTATTTCTTACAAATGACACATGTTTCATAACTCTGTATTGGGACTGGGACCATGTGAAGTACCACTGACAGATGAAGGTTAATCCTTGTCCATGACATATGGGGCATGCTTTCACCATCTTCAGTCAAATACTTCCATCAGCCCTTGCACTCATTGGATGTGACTCAGTATCTGCAATGTTTGGAATTAGAAAATAAAATTGTTTTTCATGGTAATCTATGACAAGGAAGCAAACTAATCTAAAGACCTCATACTGTTAGGTGGACAAAATGAAGAAGAGCTCTTCAAAGCAGGAAAGGAACTGGCAGTAGTACTGTATGACACAACAGATAGGTTGTTTAAACTTTATTATGATCTCAATAAATTGATAGTTAAATTTCTAACAATAAAAGATGACAGCCTTGCAAAGCTACCCAATGTGAGACTATTTTCAAACAACATGTGAAGCAGGCTTCTTGGTATGCAAAAGTGTGAATACCGTCATATATTGCTAGTCCTAGGCTTGGTTCCCAAACAGACCATGGGTGACAATATGATCCAAGTGGTCATGGTTTAGTACTATTATACTTTGATGGAGTTATGGCCTCTGAACTCCTGGAGGATTTAGTGTGTGTTGAATATACAAGACTATTTAGTGCAAGCGTTATTATTTAGTTTATTTTCTGACTTAATATTTAATTTTCATGACAGAAGTATTGAATATTGGTTGTTTTAAAAGTGTTGGTTGGGACAAATTTCATTATGTAACTATACAAGTCGTACGTTGTGTTTGCAATTACATTGCTGTCTAGGCTTTAGGATACTGATGAGGTCACGCTACTCGAATCTTCGGTATTTTTCCCGTTACCGTAAGTGAGTATTGTTCCATTATTGCATCGCGTAGTTAGTAGAAAATTCCAGACCTAATTAAGTGAATAAGGTATATATATAGGTGACCGAGCAAGAGCAAATAAAGTAAGTCAAGGAAATTTCGGTTAGAAAACGTGAAGTTAGCAGGCGTGTGAGTGATTAAAAGTAACAGGGGATAGTTCAGTGAGTATCACAGTTTAATAGAGATAAGGAGAATAATTTGTCTTGTCAAAGGGTGTTCTAAAGTAATTGAACCCGTCTGTATGGACTTTGACTAAAAACAGACAATTATTTAAAGTTCGAAATACAACTGTAATAACCCACGAAATAACGTAAGTGAATCTATCGCAGATTGTACAGTAAGAAACAAAGTAGAGAAAAATAGTATGTCTTGTCAATTGGATTCTAAATTGATTGAATCAGCCTGAGTGGACTATTGACAAGAAAAGAAAAGTATTTTAGAGTTTTAGATACAACTGTGATATCTTATAGTGTAATTATATGTGTACATACGTTTAACGTTTGATTGTATTATTTTAAAACAAGTGGATTGTGTGCTGTCTGTTTATTGTTCAAATTTATCGCCAACAAGTTACAGACACCAACCGTAGAAAAATTCTCAGCCTACTCATACTTAAAACCCTGACATTGTGCGCATGCCAAAGCAGGGCAATATGCTCTGATGTGTTTATGTGTCGTGATGAAACCTACCTTGCACTGAACTATGTACATGTCAGGGTTAAGAAGAATTAGGAACATTTTCACACATACCACTGTCCTGGATAATGAATAGGTACTATCATGGATTTTATGGCTCTACTATTTTGTTAATATCTACAAGTTGAATAAATTCTTTAATTTCAGACGTTTTGGAAACAAGTACAACAACATTTAATGCTCTCTTAAGTAGTTTAAAGTTCGGTTTTTTATATTGTACAGCATTACCGTAGTAAGCAATTTTTGAGTGGTCAGACTGTTGCCATTTGTAGGGAGGGCTGGGAGTATGTCTCCCCAGAAAATTTAATGCTATAAGATTGAATCTTGAGCCATTTTAACAACAAGTACTGCATACATACAACGTAATTTATTGGATTAAAAGACGCAAGTTTTAATATATAGGTTGTAGCTATACATGCCATAAAAAAGTGGTAAGGCCATGGTCTGACTGGACTTACCATTTCCTACAGTCCAGTACAGTTTTTGATGTCATTCAGGATGATTGTAAAGATATCCGAAATACAAAATTAAATGTTATTTAATACTAAGCTTGAAGTTTTCAATAAAAGAATACCCTATTTGTGTGTACAATTGCAAATGCCTGTCTTTGTTCTAAACTGCATGCATTTGTAGTGACACCCTGAGTCGGAATATATTAACATTATCTATTTACTTGAAATGATAATGAGAAGGAGCTACCCATAAATATTACTTTCCATTGGTTTATCACATAAACAACACCTAAATAATGTTTTCCAGTCTCGAATAGAAAAAAGAAATTCTTCATGACTTTTAAAGAATTTGGAGGGTATGGGGTAGGTATTTGGATGAAAAATCAATACCTGATATCAGAGGCGTTGCTAGGTGCTTAAAAACTTTCGGGGATCGGGCCCAGAACTCGTGCGATTTTTGCGTTTCAGTATGATATTG